TATCTTAGTTTCCACCATTAATGCTTTCAAGTTCTTCATTTTCAAGTTTTAAAATGGGTATTGCATATTTTTCTTCATAGCTTAAGATTTCTTACTTTAAGTTAAGTTTCAATCTTCATTTCTTCATTATGTCTCTTTAGATTATGCATTTCTTTCTTCCTTTCATGAGTAGCTAGATTTTTAGTTGGATAATCCAAGGGATACCTCTTCTTGGGTTTGCCATTTTAACTCATTTTCTTTCCACCTCTCGGTGTACGATGGTTCGGTTTGACTGGGTTGGGTGTGGATGTCGTTGTGAGTCTTTGATATCCCGTAGACTTGTCACAGGTTATGCTTGGATCCTCACTTCCATCATGTCCCTAGCTTCCCACAAATCAATCGAACATCTAAGCACTATTGGAGAAAGGTTTCGAGTTAACTTGGCATTCCCATTGGAATGACCTCTTCGGATTAACCAACACTTGTTTTATTTCAATTTCCTTAAGAACACAACTCACCAAAACACAAACAAATCAAAGATTTTTACACTTTTCCTTTATTTCACCAAAATCACCTTCACATAATTCCCTTTATTCTCTAAGGAGACAACCTTTTCTTCTAAGTAAAACAATGACATTGCAAAATTCTCTCTACGCTTGAGGAGCAATTTTGCACACACACGCATTTTATTCTCCATTCCACCATTATTCCATTGCCCTTTCTTTTGACATCATTCAAAGGGAGAGTGACACTCCCCTCCACACATACACAATACACATTTTGGAATGATGTGCTAGGAGAATAGGGAATACAACGAAAAACATCAAGCACTGACTCAAGCTCGTGAAAGATGCAAGAAAATTATGTGTGGATGAACAAAAACGTGTGTGAATATGCAAAAATGCTCCCAAAGCATAGAGAGACTTATAATGTCGTGTTTTACTTGAAATGGTATTCCAAGGTTGTTTCCTCAGGGAATGAAAGGTCAAGTGTTTTCGAAAGTGATTTGAAAAAAAAAAAGAAAAAATGGAAAATATTGTGATTTGAAGTTTGGTGGTTTGTATTTTGAGATGTAAGTAGGAAGAGGGTTGGCTAATCCATATAGTTCATTCCAATGGGTATCCCAAATTGATTCATTCCATTTAACCAATGGTGCCTAGGTGTTTGATTGATTCATAGGAAGTGAGAGATGAATGTAGTTGCATAAGCAAGAACATACCCCGCACTCAACCTACTCAAACCAAACACTTTACATCCGCACTCAACCCACTCAAACCAAACACTTTACACTATGAGGAAGAATGAAAGAGAGTCGATTTCACATACCTAAGAGGAAATTCCTCTTGGATAAGCCAACTAAAGGATTAGCTACTTATAATAAAGTTAACAACAAACATGAAAAGAGAAAAGCATGGTAATGAAATCAAACATTAATTTATATTTGTGACGCCCCTAAAATCGGGGGTCCCGTTGACGACCCATCAACCCGCGAAAATGCCTGTGAGTGCCGCTTGATCCGACATCACGCTAATATTATTCCATTACTCGGAATTTTAACTCACAGGTATTAACTGTGTTCCTTTAATCATTTAATTTAACTGTGGCTCAAGGTACCACAATTCATGTCTCTCTATTGTCCAATTTCATCTTTGGAACCAAAGGAATCAAAGACCGAGAGCACAACACTTTAGTTTTAAAGTTTAAAATTTTGGAGAGAGTGCCGGTACTGTTTGCTCACTGACCATGGCAGTACCGGTACCGTCTGGACTGTACCGGTACTGCCTGCCTTCCAAATTTTTTTTTCAAAGTTTTGGAAAGAGTACCAGTACTGTGTAACAATGTTGTCTGCTTACTGGACCAGACTGTACCGGTACTCTCTGCCCAGTTTAGCCTGTTTCCACTGTTTTTCCTTTCAAAACCATTTCAAATCATCTTAACACCATCTAAACCATGTCTAACAATGTTTATCACATAAAACTTGATATCTACCAGTTCTATTACAATCCATTCACATGATTTCATACACAACACCATAATTTTACGAAGTTATACAAAATGTATTACAAAAGCCACAAGTTGGTTTTTCTTCATCTGTGAGGCCCCGAATGAGAGTCCTCCGCCGGTGTAAACCCCACACCTGAAATGTGTTCCCGTATAGGGTGAGCCAATGCCAAGTAGAATATTCTCTACAGAGGCTACTCCCCTCCTAAATGCATATGAAATGTGAACATGCAACCAATGAAAACCAATATCCATTCCAACAAAAACATGTAATTCAATGTTGAAAAATCATAATATCATGCCATGAAATGAGATGAGACGCACTCATGCACCTTATCTCAAGTCCTCACCAACTCCCACAACACAATGCAATGCATGTGTGTAAAACATTTGTCCTTGATGAAATACATCCAAAGATCATTTTGAAATACAATCATACATTCATAAAACTCATTCATTTTTTGATATTTCCCATCAAATGAATCAATTACATAAACCAAAACAATGTGTCTTTGCTGGGTATCAGATTTTGGAATCACACCGTTGGCTCCATACGCCATTACACTTTTCTGGAATTTCACCTCAAGGGAGTGTATGAATCAAGTAACCAGGCCTTTCACCCGAGGGAGTGTCTAGCCCTTCTTGCTATACCCGACACAAGTTTTCCATGCATGCAATTGTGCGACTCAGTGGAATCTTCAATCCCACCTTTCCAAGCCCACCTTTAACCACCATAAATGATGTTTGAATCAACCATGCCCACACACACACACACTCATGCCTAAGCCCATGAATGTGATGACATATCATGCCCAAAATGCAATGAATGCCAAATGAGCTATTTAACCACATATTTTCACTTATGTCATGACAATTAATATCAATTGCACATAATTATCATAAATCAACATGATGCTAATATATTAACACATGTAGCAACTTATTCATCCACAACAAGGTTCACATAGCACTTAGCAAAACACCGAGAAGGCAACAATAGAATGCATAGTATGCCCAAAAATGTTAAGGTCCAAGGGATTACACACGTATTTCCTCAATACCGAACTTTGCTAGGAATTGGTCTAGGCCAATTCCATACCCATTTCCTCTTTTCTTTAACCATAGTCAAATGACTTAGGTTATCTCATACCCTTACCCATTTCATAAAACATTCTAGATAAGAAAATAAACCAAGGTAAGAGAAACCCTACCTCTTGGAGCATAAATAAAATGTAGAAACTTCAAGAACTCCAACACCACCCCAAAAACTTGAATTCCCCAAAATTCCTTCTTTGGATTTTTTGTGAAATCCCTCGTTCTTGGTACGTACGCATAGCCCTCGTCGTGTAGACCAACTTTAATTCTTTGTTCAATGAATTCTGACCGACGGAACTCCTTGGATCGCAAGAAGAAAAGTAGAATTTCTAGGTTTTCTCTCTTCTCTCTGTTTCCTCTCTTCAACGTCTGATTTAGCCGGCCAAGTGGGTGAGAATATCAAAATTTTCAGATATTGAGCCCCAATTTATATTTTTTAATTGCACGGTCCACAATGTCCCACACGTTTATTACTTTCGGATCCGTTTTTGACTCAAAACAATTTAATTAATTCTCGATTTCAATTCAAATTAATTTTATTTGAATTTTTATCTAATTATAAGAAAATTTTATAAATTTCATTTTTTGGGGACCTTTGTGAGGTCATTTGTCACTCAATTGTCTCGTAAAACGTATAAAATTTGACTATCTCAGAATTCAACAAAAATTGACATAACAGCTCGATTTTGCGATACAAATTCAACGGTGAGGTCCGTTGCATCATTCGAGCTCTAAAAAAATATTAATTTTAAACCCGCATTATAATGACAAATTACCATTTTACCCTTTTTTGAAAAAGTTTAAATTTACCTAGATTTTACAATATTAATGTAAGAGAAATTTTAGACTACAAAGGAAATGACATTCATACTCAAAATGTAAAGCTCGGAAAGAAATACCCAAATGCAAACAATAAAACTTGAAAACCCTAGCCAAACTCAATACAACTTCAAATAAATGAGATTAATGTGCTAGAAAGAAGGATTACATGTAGGTTGAAGCTTACAAAAGTGAAAATGGTGGAGGAAAAGCAAAAAGCCTAGCTTTATCTCTTTAGAACATCCTCTTCTTCCTTGGAGCCTCTCTCTACTCTTCAGTGTGCAGAGCTTAGGTGCTTTGGGAAGAGGTTATCCAAAAAGGCTTCTGAAATCAGACAAAAGGCATTGCCCCTTTCCTTTTCCAATCATTCTCTTTTTCTCTTACCCCTTTGCACTCCTTCATGCATAAAGGTTGAATGCCGAGATTAGGAGACTATGGTGGAGTGTTGAAATGGTCAAAACATCGATTAGATAAGTAGGAGTGGACCTTTGTTGGTTGTGGAGTCATGGGAAAAGTGGTCTGGGACTTCTAGGCTCTAGGTACTAGTACCAAGTGATGAGATACCGGTACCTTGATAGCAGTAGGTTCAGGTACTAGTACCAATAATTTCAGGTATCGATACCTACTCCTTTTCTTCAAGTTTTGAATAGCTATGGTACAATGCTAGTTACCGGAACCAAGACAAGAAGGTACAGGTACCTCCTCTTTTTCCTGATATTTCTGCGTTCTGCATTCCCGAGCCCTTCTTCCTTGAAATTCTTATCCTTTTTTTCCGTTAACAAGCACTAATATAAGTATGTATTACAACACATGGATTGACTTAAGATGCTTTGTTTTAGCCCTTATCTCTTTACAAGGTCATGCTTGGTAGCATGCATGTACCAATGTTGCAAAAACCACTTTAGTGCTAACCAATCAATGAATTACTATCTTTTGAGCGTTAGTGCTTTAATTGGATGGGTTGGGCACAATGACTACCTTTTTAGCACTGATGTGCTTATCTTGATTTTGAGAGAGCCCATGACAAATATGTTACTAAGAGAAACCTATTGGATTTGCTCATAATGCTGGGAACAGAGTCGTACTGCACCACTATTTTTGGAGAAATGGATGTACTATTACTGATTCCAAATTTTTGCTATGGATATGCACAACTTATATTCTCTCTTGCGAGATATGAATCCGTCATTGATGCTTACTTGGATGGCCTTGAGGTTTCTGGGCTAAGTGACCTCTCTAGAGTTACTAGTGTTGCTTCCTTCTTAGTTAGTCAAGTAGACATACTTGTTGACAAGATGCTTGAAAAGATTGGTACTCCAGAGGCTCTTGATCTCCGAGGAAAGGTAATAAGCATATAGAATTGTAGTGATTTGAAACTTTCGTCCATGTCGTGTAACTTTTCTCCTTTTCTGTTAAGCTGCAAATGCTCAAGCAGCTTTGGCTTACCAGCTTTACCAGAAAAAATTCTTTGGTCCAAGATCGGAGGCTCTAGTGAAGAAAGGTGCCAAGAAGCAAAGGCTGTTGTGGGCCTCTACCAGCATCAAGAATCCAGCCTACCCTGATACTCTATATGTGACTCCTCTAGTTGTACCTAGCACGGTGAGCCATCTTTTTATATTGACAGTTGTGGTTGGTTGCGGTCATGTTTTTTACTTCTTGTACTTTCTTGAATTTATCTTAAATGTTCATATATACCGCCTCTTCTTTCCACATGTTTCAACCATGCCTGATCAAGCTCTCCAAGCATTTATTGACCATGATACAGTTGCAAGGACAATAGATCTGAATGTATCTGAAGCAGAAGGCATTTATAATGCCCTAGAGAAGTTGGGGATTCACTGGAGCCATGTTGGCTCCTAGCTTGAGCTTGAAGGAGTGGACTTTCAATAAGAGTTTGACAGCCTGCTCAATAGTCTTCAAGAGAAGGCAAACTCTCTTAAACTAGTCAGCATATAAACCTTATGTTATGTTTGATTACAAACATTATGGCTTTAATAAATTGACTAGGTTCCAGTCCTGCTGCAAAGGCTATTGATGACTATCCTATAAATAGTGTAATTTGAGTAATGCGTTTCATGTAACTTGCATGTAAGCAAGAACTTTCACTTATCCCCTTCTCTATGGCGCTTATGGAGTGTAGAAAAATTCAAACTAGAATACAAATGAGTTTTCTGATTGAAGAATATAAGTAACCATCACAAGTCGTATCCCAACTAAAGAATTGTTTGATTTGAATGTCGCTATTAAAATTATATGGAGTGGTTTAGTTGAAGTATTACAAATGAATGAATTACATTAAAGAATTCAATCTAATACAACATACAAAAGATAAAATTAAATAAAATATAAGAAAATTTTAATTCACTGTGAGGCGAGTGGAATGTATATGGCGAACCTAATATCAACCGTCGGGTGTCCTCCTACATCCTTTGCGATCATATCCGCTGGGAAAACTGCTGCTTCTTCTTTTGTTTCTTCTTCATCATTGGTACGTACTTTAGGTTTTAATAACTGTGTTTCTCTGTTTAAACTTGGCTTCTATGTAAAAATGCTGCAAAATTACTTCGCTAGCTCAAAAAATTAAGTCATCTTTACTACATCATTTTCTTAATCCATTGTTGTAATATCCGTAAAAGTGAGAGTTTGAACTTCCAGTGGTGGCACGGACAAATTACTCCAAGATGCACGACGAATCAACAACCGTTGTCATTGAGACATTCCAATAATGATACCGCATCAACTCCATGTGGTCAGAAACAATTTCATCTTTTCTTGGAGAATATTATCCTTTCCTTGGTAGAATTAGGAAAATTAATAGGTGTATCTGTCATCAAATTTTAACCAGTCTTTAATCCAGGATGAATTTTTTGATCTAACTATTGTGCTTCCAAAAGATGAAAGAAGCCGCTTGGATTGTGTGCCAGCTGCTTATTCACCGAAGAGAGGTTGTGATGTCTTCAATTGGATTATTAACGTCAGCGTCTTTGTGGACTGTTTCATGGGATGCACTTGCTATGGCTTCTCAATTTGCTGACAGTAATTTCAAAAAGTCGGGTTGNGCTTATTCACCGAAGAGAGGTTGTGATGTCTTCAATTGGATTATTAACGTCAGCGTCCTTGTGGACTGTTTCATGGGATGCACTTGCTATGGCTTCTCAATTTGCTGACAGTAATTTCAAAAAGTCGGGTTAGGAAGGGTGACACGAGAGGGGGCTTGGCTATGACTGTGAGGGAACCCTTGCGTAAAACTTTGTTTTGTTTTTGAATCCAAGGGCTAACCATATGTGCTCCATCATATTTATAACATCAAGCATATGTGCTGATAAATTGAGATTTGCAGCTGATCCTTTACTATCTTCTGGATTAGCTCCTCTACAATTAGAAATAGTGTAACATCTGATTTTCTTACCACCTAATAATCTTGCACAATTGGGATTGATCTATGCGCCTGGAAGCTGGGATGGTAGGATGCCATTGACCAGAACCTCAGAACTGCTTGGATCAAAATTAGTTTATCTTTGGATGAGTCCGTCGAAACTTTTCGTTTTTGGTTGAAACATATACAGGTTAGTGATTGAAAATCGGCATTCAAATATTTTATAGAATTGTTTCAAAATGTTAACCAAAATGATGCCATTTTCTACGTGTCTCAAGGAAGAGGTGGAGATGGAAACATTGATGGTTCATCACCATGAGATGGTGCTGATTTCAGACAGTTTAGACTGCAACGATGTTGTTTCTTGCTTGTGAAAAGGAATGAGATGGTGGTAGAACATTGCTCATTCGTGACGAAGAGATGGTCATGATCACTTCATTTGTATTATTAAGTCCTTAAAATTTTGTAAATTGTAATTGTTTGGTAGTACTAGAAATGACTTTCACATCACACTGACATTTATTTCTGCTTCTCCAAATTCGTGTATCAATTATGTTTAGGGAATAAACATGCTCAATAATCAATTGTGGAGCTTATTGACAAAGTTAAACATATTTAATTTATTTTTCATCACGTTTCTAAATTTTTTATTTTTCAGTTTGGTTAGCAAACATTTATGTTTGTGAGTTGACCTAAATTATAAACCAAAACTTATTTTTTATCTTTGTTTGTAAATTCCAATATAGTCATCATTTTATTTCATGACATCTATTTTGTTGATCAGTAACTCAAGTTCTCTATCCTGTGATTCACTTACTGATTGAGTGTGCTATGATTTACATGCTAAGTGTGTGCATTGAGTAGTTTTAGTGAAGTTAGAAAAATTTCAGTGTAGTTAATCACTATATGTAGCCTATCATAGTGGTGAGAACTGATGGTTGTGGCTCAGTGTTTGGACTCACAGTGCCAGCACTTAGGGGCAAGGATTATGGCAAGACGAAGATGCGGTATCCTGATTATGTTGAAACACAATCTGGTCTCCAATATGAGGTCACCTGTTGGAAGCACTTTTTGTGAGCCATGCTAGTATATATACTTGCACAATACTCTCATGCTCTGGTTATGTATATTTTAATTTCCTATTCGAAAAAGTGCTGGACTTGCGCCTAGGAACTGGCCCCATACCAAAGATGGGAGAGACAGTGGTGGTAAGCCAACATTTTTTGCACACACATGGTTTTCCAATTGAACACTAATACTCATTTGTTAACCAAATTTGAAAGAAAACAAGTTTTATGGAAGGGAGGATGATGACTGTTTACCATTTTTAGGGGAATATATCATCCACTCCCATGTGTATCACCATTTCTTGAAGGACACTGCATTATCTAAAACTTGACTGAAATTTCCCATCACACACACACACACACACAAGGGCATATAGCTGCCCTCCCCCCACCCCCCCCCCGCGCGGCCCTCTCTGACTAAGTATTCCTCTTTCCCCTTCGAAAAAACACTTCCTTAGCAGACACACCAACCCACCCAAACTTAGCTTCCCGACCACTGAGTTCAATCCATCCCTTCCTTAATGATCGCATTCCACCAAACCATCACCTCCACTCACACAAACACTTCAACCTCTCCTCCCCTGCTACACACACATGAGCACAACCCTCACTGTCCACATAGTCCTTCGCATCACCAATAAGACACATGTTGGTGATTGTAACCTTTTCCTCTTCTGGGGCACGGACATCTTTGAACTCTTCCATGTCCCACAAAAAATTTTTGTTCAAATCGTTGTTTATCTTTTTTTTGTTCAGCCTTGAGCTCCATGCAAATTCTATCCTCATAGCCCTTACATATTCTAAACCCATGTTTGGACATAAAATACAAAAGCATTCGATGAACGCGTTAATGGCAAGTCTAAAATCATTAAAGGATTGTCACGTGTCAAGATCTGAAGAAAAGGCGAGAAGTGATCAACCACAACTTTGGTTTGAAAAAAGGAATAACTGCCTAAGAGTTACAAAATCAACTAACTGTCGATAAGGAAAAATCGTGGAAGGGAATGGCTATAAAAGAAGGAAAAGAAGGAAGTTGAAGAATAACTCAAACCCCCACAAGACTCACAATCAGGGCATTTAGGATTAGTGCTAGAGTTAGTTTTTAAGAAGTAGTTAATGTTGTAATCAAGGACTGTTAAATTAGTCACTCTGTAACTGAAACTCATTTGATTAAATTAATAAAAGAGTCAGCTCTTATTGATTCATTATTTTGTCTGACTATAGCTTTAAGAATTCATCCAAGGAAGTTTTGAAATAAGACATTAGAACCCTTTCACAATCGATCGTCAGAGAATTGTCTATCGATCATAATCGATTTTTTGGGACAATAATCTTTTGGCACGTCCAGTAGGATATCTATACTAACTTGGATCTAGAAAGATGGTGTGAACAAGGAAGCAAGACAAGATTCTGTTTGAGACTAACGAAATTGTGGAAATGACACCTGTCGATGGCAATCATGATGAAGCAAATTCGACTGCCCTTCCTGTGGAAACTGCGAACCCAATGAATGGCCAGTCCAATGGTCAGGATAGTGTACAAATACAAGAATTTGTGCAAAATCTGAAACAGGTATTGTACAATCCCAATTTTGACATTAGGAAAGAATTATTTAATGTCATGCATGACTTAATGAGTGTCTCAACATCAGTGTTCAGACTCATCATCCTGTGGTATTCCCTATAGAAAATCAAAGGCCACCATCAATGGTTGCAAATGAGAGACCAAACATTCCGCATCAAAATCAATTTAACATGTTGTTTGATGGAGAGCCTGTAGAGGTTTTTCCAAACTTCTTCCCAGAGAAAAATCCTAGGGGAAGAAATGGACCAAGAATGACCCTTGAAATTCCAAGGAGGGGGCGTGAGAGGATTGCTATGCCTCCATTAGGGCATCTCCAACCCACTTCTCTAAAATATTTAGCCAAAATATATTTAAATATTACATTTTCTATTTTGGCTACCCATTTTTACCAATTCACTCCAACCATGCTCTCTATTTTAACTAACTACTTCATCCAACTTTCACTAACNCCCACTTCTCTAAAATATTTAGCCAAAATATATTTAAATATTACATTTTCTATTTTGGCTACCCACTTTTACCAATTCACTCCAACCATGCTCTCTATTTTAACTAACTACTTCATCCAACTTTCACTAACTTCCAATAATTTAAAAGGAATACAACATATATATAGAGAGATAGAGAGAAAAAGAGGTAGAGAGAATTTAGAGAGGTTAAATGGCTCTCCACATTTGCAGAGTCATTTGGGTGAAATGGGATATAGAGTGTGGGATAAAGAGTGGGTTGGAGATAATTTTTTATGCTTGGCTAACTAAAATAGCTAAAAGAGAAGAAATAGAGAGTGGGTTGAAGATGCTCTTACAACCCATAGATGAATACCCAAGACCAGG